TCTGCGCAAAAGATCTAGAGACGCTTCAATGAGGGCATTTTGTTTCTTAATGCCACGCAGAGCTCTTCAATTGTCAAGCATATACACTGGATTGATTTTAATAACTGTAATGTAGTTGAAGTGTGCACTGTATTATATAAAATAAACAAGAATCGGATTGAGACTTGGTATCAGCAGATAATCAATATTAAATTACTTCGGGGATCGAGGGCTAAAAAAAAGTTAAATATCTCCTGTAATTTTTGAAAATTATAAAAAAAACTTCAACACTGGGATGAAAGATGGAAAGAAAAAACAATACCCATCATATTATAAATGAATCAGCACACAGTTTGTCATAGTGCATTTTATTTACATATGTTTGAAGTTCTGCAGTGATTGAATTTTGGTTGCGCCCCCAGATCCACCCATTGTAATTGTTTTTGCAAACTAGAGCAAAAACCAACTAAAACAGAATCTCGCAGCATGAATCCCTAACACATCACACATTTAAGACTTAATGAGTCACAGATGCAGTGAGACGCCGCAGGCTGCAGATGAGTCACGCTCGTTTCTGCCACAGCTGTCCCCCTGCCAGCCTGTCACTGCAGGAACTGCTAGGTTGTGCTTTCTGAATGAGATGTTGTGAGCAATGGCCCCCGTCACATACACAAGCATACGTAACTGACGTGTTTGATTTACTGGCATTTTGACTTGAAGCAGATCTGCTGTATGTCGCCATCATATGACAGGAGAGAATAGAAGAAGTAGCGTCCTGCAATTTAACTGCAGGTGTCATTGTCAGGAAGTGGTTTGAAGTCATCAGGTTGTTTTAACGCTCGTTGTTGTTCAATCTTGTGTGTTGCAGGCAGAGAAAGCTGAAGGCTACATTAACCTCACCAACTTCATGATCGACAGAGCCATAGAGTGCAAGAAGAAACAGTAAGCTCAAAGTTACACTCAGTTTCTGGTTCATCTGAATCACATTTTACCGTATAAGCCACCCACCACCAGTGGTTTGAATTAAACAGGAACTATATCTGTATTTATTTTGGGACCTGAATGACATAGAAAGTGATCCCACACACTGTGATAGGAAGTGCACAGTCTTGAACAATTTGAAAATGATCAGTGAAGTAGAATATTATAGATTCCAGTAGAAACTTCTTTTCACACTGCTCTTTTTGCGCTGCTCCTGTCTCAACTGCTCTCCACTGACTTTTCCTCACGCAGTGCGTTCAAGGCTTGCCACCCACAAGTCATGATGTTTTATTTTGCTGCTGAGAGCCACGAGGAGATGAACCTGTAAGTCACATAAAAGCACAACATTGTATATATTCTATGGGTGTTTTTCTTTTAATGTATACTGTCTTGTTTTGTCAAATGTTATTGAGTTGAATCTTTTTTTTAAAATTCTTTCTTTAGATGGTTGAATAAGCTTGGGCTGGCCGCCATTCAGTATGAGCCAGCAGAACGAAACCCTACAGCCGGTGAGCACCCTATGACAATCAGACGTGTATTTCTGTTACATATTACTGTTCTTATAAGAAAATCCTAATCATTATTTAGTTAGAAGTTAAATGACTTCTTCTGTCTCTCATGCAGAGTGTTACAGTGAAGCCAGTGACCATGAAGAAGCTGAAAGCACAGAGATTCCCCCTCCACCATACTCTGAACAAACCCTGCGAGACTCCGTGGATGCATCCGGTCCACCCGGTAGCACACATCAGGTCAGTAATGTTACAGCTGTACAGGAGGCTGCCATTCACTCAGTAGTGTAGTTTTTTACAATTTGTGATAGTATGTTTACTCTGGTTAAGCTGGTAATTTTGTTTTAAAATTCTTTTTAATTTATGCTGTATAATTACATCTGACCGTGGTGTATTTGTCTTTCAGGGTACCCTGCCTCCCCCTTACTCCTCTGCAGTCCCCAGCGAAGCCAACGGTTCGCTCTCGTCCCCCGTCAGTACGATGACATCACAGAGCTCCACCTCCTCGCTCGCCAAGCACCGGCAGTCCTGGTTGGACCTCGTCTCGCAGGCGTCTCCTCCCACCGGGGAAACGGCTGTGGTGTGCTCGGTTCAGGTACACTCGTATCGACCTCCGGAAGAGGAGACGGAAGAAGAGGATGACTCCCAGGTGTTGGAGGGCTCGTCTCAGCAGGACTCTCCGGAAACGGGGTCTAATGAGGAAAGCCCTGCTGCGGAGGGGGAGGCACAGAGAGTCGTATGTGGTGCTCAAGAAGGTGAGACTTTATTTTACTCCTTTTTAATTTGTTGTGTATTTGTGACTTGCCTGTGTTGTCTTTTAATGTTTGGAAATTTGTGAGTCATTTCCAGCTGTAAGAGATGATTTCCTGTTTCTTACAACACTGTTTAACATCTTCGCACGAAGAAAGATTAGTTGTTGTTGTTAGTTGATTGATATGCTGACACATTTTCCTTCTGTTTCAGATTTTGTAATATATTTTCCACCCTAAGTTTACTGGTAATGCATTGTCAAGTCACTGGGACTTAGGGAACCTTTCGTTTATGTGGAACATGTTAGTCAGTGTCAATCTTTGTGACATGTATGTTGATGATGTAATATAACCTTATCGTGTTGCAGGGGTTCGTGGGAATAGCTCAGATGAGATGGAGAAGCTGTATATTCATCTGAAAGAGGCCAGCCTCTCGCCAATAGGAGATCGCAAACCATCCACAAAAAGAGAATTCAGGGCCTCCTTCATAAAACGCTGTAAAAACCAGACTGTCAATGACAGACTTCACCTTATCAGGACTCTCAACAGCACATTAAAGGTACTTTTTCTATTTCCTAGTCTGTTTGTCCAGTACAGTGCAGCTAGTGTATGAATTGCAAAATAAATGTTTTGTAGAATCTGGAGAGCTTTGTGCTATTTTTTAATTTTCCCATTTTCTTTTCTCTCTTCTTTCCTGACCCAGTCGAAAGAGGCAGACCTACAGGCAATAGAGCAGGTGCTGTCGGACCAGGAGCTTACCTCAGACAAGTTCAGACAGTGGAAGGACGCCCATGCACCCTTGGTGCAGGAGATTTGTGTGAAACCGGTCCAGCAGGTGGCATCAGAGGCCACGAAAGCTGCAGCATCAGTCATTGCTGCTCCAGTGGTCGAGACCAGTTTATAAAGACTCCTCATGACTGGTTTTACTGTGTCTGGACTTAACACTCACATACACTGCTGTTCTCAGTTAAGACTACTGTTCCATATCAGAGGACTTTATGTACTGTTCAACAAGTAACTGGATCAATGAAGAAGAGTGTTATTAGCTCCTAAATAGAGATGGAGCAGGCATTATATGATTAGCAGGTCACATTTAAATGTGAAATGTGTTGTAGTATTACTTTTATTGTTAGATTTGTAAGATTAGCTAATTTTACAGAGGATTGTTTTTATGTTGTAATTCTGTGGACCTATGCATTGTTTTTAATATTTGGAATGATGGAATACATTGAAATGATGATGATCCATTATTCTTTGCATGGAAACACTTGTTTTTACAGTATGTTTGATCTACTTTGGATTCGTCAGTAGTGAACACATTTTGAACTGTTGGTCAGTCAATTATTGGTGCCATGCACCACCACTGCCTGTTACACATGTGTTTTACAGCAACTATTTTGAATGATTGGTGTGTGTTTTGTTCTCCCTAAAAATGATATTGTCATACTTATCACGAAAACTGAACACCGGGGCCAGCACTAACAGTCACAAATCATGATAATATCAGATTACATTTTTTAGAGTCAGTGTCAAATCATTGTTATAACAATAATGTAGAGCCAAGATATAAGAAATCACCTTGTTTTTAGTAGAAAGGTACATGTAGGTTTATTCTACTAAACAAAAACAAGCTATTTTTAAATGAAGAATTCCATCTTAAATGTGATAAATACTTTAGTACTAGCCAGTATCAATGATACAGTCTGTTGGGCTTAGGGGCACGGTGTACCAGTTTGCATTTGCATTTGCATTCAAACACAGGAGGCTTGGTGGATAATTCTCAGGAAAAAAAGACAGACCTCCACCATGGCCCTTACAAACAAGTCCAGCAGACCCTAATCCTGTACACAGACCCAGAGAGACCCAGATTTAGAAAACTCCGGCTAAGCAAGGGCCTCTGACTTGGTGACAACACCTACTGGTAACCAACCAAGCCCCAGGCACAAAGATTTTTTTCTGACTTACATTTCATCTGTTGTGTATGTGTTAAATATTAACTCAGTGTAAATAGTTGTACATGGATGTGTGATGTTAATTATGTTTGATCTGGAGTCAGAGCGCTTGTTTGTATACAGGGAAATAAAGTATTATCACAAAGGCTTGAACATTTCACTGTGGCTTGATTTTGATCTATGTGGTCAATGTAACCATAGATGAATGCGAATGTTGAACACAACTTGTAGTGACCCGAAGTCGACGCTAGGAGTCGCCGGTCTCTCTGCAGATTTCCATTGAGGTTATGCGCCATATTGGCAGTCTCCTCCATCTCACCAAACGTCGAGCATGCATGTCTCAAACCGGTTATTGAGGAGATATCTGTAAATATTTACAGTCACCTGCGAGCCGAAATACAACACTATGGAGGCCGTCAAAGCCTTTAACAATGAGGTTTGTTTGAATCCCTTGCACAATTCTGAACACATTGAGAGTAGAAAATGTTGTGTAGTTCATATTCGCGGTGGCTAACGTTAGCATCAAGTAGCAGAAAGGGAGAGGAGGGCAGTCTCACACAAGGAAGGCCGCTGTCTGTGCACAACAATACAGCGATAACGTCAAGTCATTTACTGTGTGATTCATCTTATCTGTCCGGACGATAGCTGTGAGGACAATGTGTCTCCTCAACCTAACACACGCCGTGTAAGGTTGAGATTAAGTCTGCGAGCGAACATTTTCCACACACTGGTGCTAACGTTAACTAGCCAGCTAGCCACAAGTTAGCAAACCCGCCTCAGTTGCGTGATAACTTGGTTAGCTAACTAACTAACATGGACGTGGGAAAAATACCTCGCACTCGCTGCCACTTTTGCCATTTAATTATTGCAGTGGGATTCTGACCCAAGTGGCGTTAGCATACTGGTATATAATCACACAGGATATAAATTACTTGAGGTAACCCAGCACATTTAGACAGCTAGGTTACCCGCTAGCTATCAAAGCTAACTAGTAGCGCAACCATTTGTCTGCATTGACACTAAAGTCAGTCTGTCCTTTGACATAGTCGGTGTAAATGCTAACCTCTCTAACCACTCACAATTAACTACTAATACCAACTGGATTTCACTGTTGACTGCAATTCAATTGTTGAATGGTTATTTATTTTTTTAATATTAGTATCAAAACAAATCGCCTGAGTCAGAGGCAAGCCCACTAACGTTACATCGTGTCAGTTAGAAATTGGCTCTACTGACCACAAAACATACCCCAAGTGAAGGTTTTGCTGGATGCTTAACACAGGTGCAGACGAGAAGGGGTGATGCTTGTTCATATAGGCATTGAATGACTATTAACGTTGTGTTTTAGTAGTTGCATTATATGACAAAAGATGTTCTCTGTTGTCTCGTTTTAATTTCCAGTTGTACTCATTGAACGAGTACAAGCCGCCCATCTCCAAGGCCAAGATGACCCAGATCACCAAGTCTGGAATCAAGGCTATAAAAGTAAGTATGTAGTGTTAGAGGATGAGGCAGGTAATGGGGGTCAGTGAAATGTAAGGGAAATGCTCTCCAATTCTTATGTTAAATCAATACATAACCACCCAGCTATGAGCATGGGTTTACACATTTTTATGTATAAATACGGGTAAAATTACTCGAGAGGGTAGGTCTACTTCCATTTTTTATATATAAAATGTTACGATTTAAGGCCCCATAAAATTAAAGGTTTACAGGTTTTTACAAGGATAACAAAGATTTGTCTGTTCCAGCCACAAACTTACTTGTTTAATGCAAAACAGATTTTTAACATCTAAATACTATTTTATTACATAAAGGCAGTTAATAAAATCCAAAAGACTAAACTCGGCTAACGTAGGAGCAAAGGCAAATTCTTAAAAATAAAAAATGCAAATGTAGACTCTGGACTGAAATAAATTATTCTGTTACGTAGTCTTGTCTTAGACTGTGAAGGACACGTATAAGCTCTTTGGGAGACTACATCCTTTCACATATACCTTTTAAAAAGTGTGTACCTAAGAAGCACGATGCATATGAGCCTGTGTACTGCACTTTTTTGCTGATTCCGAATTTCCACATGGGGACAACCTTGAGCAGACCCCATCAACAAGAATTAGTTAACTAATTAACAGCATGAGTTAGAGGGCTGCAACACTATTGAGAGCCTTTGGGACTCCATATTGACTATGCAGTGGACGGTTAAGGACAAAAACATGTAGGGGTGTTGACAGACTCATGTGTATGGGTCGTTGTGTTTTCGTTACCTTTCGTTACATATGCCACGAGTCACCTTCATGCAGTCCGTCATGTTGAACCTGCATGTTTCTACAGTAGCCCAGAATGGACAGACCAAACACTGGCAGTAAATAGTGCATTTTGCGTTTTTCCCGAGTTTCGCAGCCACCATAGTTTGTCCTACACACTCCACAGCCTGTTCTCATTCCCAGGTCGTCAAATACACCGCTAGATGCCAGTAAATCCTACACAGTGGACCTTTTAATAAAAAAAGCTTTGTATTTTCAATCATTGCAAATAATTGGAACATTTAGCCCAAGTTCAAAGTCATTAGCTTTAGTTATACTAATAGGCCTTTTTTTAATAGTAAGGAAAGTAGAGATGTTTCTATAACATTAATGAGTTAATAGAGTTGGACGTCCCTTCTGCTTTTATTGGAAGCCATATGACAGGCTCAGTGTTATGTTACAGCTGGTTGATGCAGTCTATCTACACAGACAAAAAAAAATAGTGGAATTGTTTGTACATGCGAGTGAGACTGTGTTATAAAATTAGTTGACTTAACACAGAACATTTGCAAGTATTTTAATAGTGTCTACACAGCAGCGGCTTCAGTCTACACTTCACAGCCACAGTACAGCTGTGTGGTCACCCATGTTTTATTAGCACGTATACACAAACATTGCAGTTCCGTTCGTAAACCAGTAGAAAAAGACTTGAAGCCTAAAAAGAAATGATTGGGGTCGCAATCGAGAGAAATGTGCGCCATAAGTTGTTCTGTGTAGACAGCTGTATTGATTAAAATAGAAGCCTATCTGTTCCGCCAGACAGCTGTTACACAGAGGAGGACTGAAAAACGCTCCTGAAATGCATTTTTTGTCGACATCCTGTTCAACAGCCTTACCTTACAGCATCCATCATTTGCACTTTAAACAGTAACAACAAACAGAGGAAACCCCACCATCGGCTCACAATATATGAGCCTTAACTTGATTATTTGTAGGCACCTAGAAATTTTTTAATGCACAACATTGTTTGCTAAGTTCTTTTAAGCAGTGATATAAATAGGGTGTGTTTAAAAGGATGGTCAAAGTGATTTTATTACAGGCCCACCTCAGAAGATCTGTTTTGTTTGGGGCTTCTGATATTGCGCTCACCTGCAATAAAAACATTTTAGTGAAATCCTGGCTTGGCAGTGAGTGCAATATTAGAATTTGTCTTTATTTTGCCATAAAGACCCTTTTTGCAGTTGTCTCCTATGCTTACATTGCACTAAAGGCTGTTTTCCTGGGCCTATTAAAAGCCTCTCAGGGAAAAAGGCTGATCAACAAAGTCCCTATGAACATCTGTGGTTGTAGTTCACCTAAAATGCAAAACTGCTCAGCATTTTTCTCTGAGATGCTGAAGGGATACAGGCCAGGGAGTGAATATATTTTTTCTTCTAAAAATCTTATTATTAGTATTATTATTATTATTGTTATTATTACTCCTACAACATGTGTAATTGAAGACTTTAAGGCCTGAATGCACAGGTCCAGGGAACCTGTCCTTAATGATAAATCTTCTGATAATGTGTTTCCTTGTCCTGTTTGTACTCTGAAGGAACTGCTGTTGTTTTGGTGTTGCTGTGCCTTGTTGCTTGTGAATAACACCCGTTTCCCCTTCCCTCAGCAGCTCTCCCAGCTCCCCCAAAGCACTGAAAGTGAAGCAGGAGGATGGGGTGGAGAGAGTTACAAAGAGATAAGAGAATCCCTAACCAGCTTAGGTAGGAGTATGGGTTGTTTCACAAGGAAGATGGAAGAAGACTAAAATCATTTAAACTTAATTTGCTCCCACACACCCAGAGAAGCGGGGTTTTTGCTGCCACTGTTGTGGGCTGTACTTTTTTTGGCTTTGAGCTCTTGATTGTGTTGGCAGTTGAAGGTGCAATCTAGTTAATTTTCTTCTTGAATTGTCTGATGACAATATTCATGTTGTGGTGTAGTTGGTGCACCTTTCTTTCTTGTTAGTCAAATCAGAACATTTTCTGTTTCTCTTCCTGCTGCATATTGATGCAGCTTGAGCAGTCATTAGTTGGTGTAAGGGGTTTAAATTCAGGAGTTGCCACTGGTGATTGATTTTATAAAATGCTCACCTCTGGGTTGGATTGAAATTGCTGCTTGAACACGCAGTTTGAGTAATTCAGCATTCATCTTCAACATAACAGACATCACATAAATACACGGTATTTTCATAAGCAGCGATTCATGTCTTCTGCACACAGTGTGGCTGTATTTCTGATGTTGTCACATATGGTATAAAAATAGCTGAAGATGTCTAAGCTGTTGATCAGGTCTTTTTAAGACGCTATTGAGGTTTTGATTTTACCAACAAATTAGGGCTCTCACTTTGAGTTTGAATCAATAAGAACTAACATGTAATTCCTAATTGTAAATCCTAAAATATATTGTACAATTGATGTGGTTCCCGTTGAATTGCTTTGCCTCCACTGCCTCACCTGAGACAGCAAGGGTTAACAGGATGACCTTTTAGATTCTGTGTTGCAGGTCAGGGCGTGAGCAATTTTTGTCGATTCTTGCGATATTGTATCGATTATTTTGTTTCCCCAGAAAGTATTCGATTTTTCAGCCAAGAGTATGATACATTAAGTCCATTTCAAATCCCCCGTGTTCCGCTGCACTTTCTGCTCGCTGCCTGTTCCCCCGTTTCGCTTTGCAGGAAGAGTGTTAGGTCAGCCAGCCCTAGTGTCGCTGTAGAGCTTTCTTAGCAAGTTACCCGTCTAGATACTCCCTTTACACAGACGTCTTCCTCTTCCTTGCCTTAAACTACTCGGTTAAGACGGGGCATTTGAAGTTATGTTTAAATGTGTTCTTAGTGACTTGATTATTTGGTGTTTTTGGAGTAAGTCCA